TGTAGCTCATAAAAAATGGTTCAGAAAGGTTTTATTAAATAAGCTCACAATCATTCTTTTAAAATGTGTATGTGACAGACAGCTATTGACAAATTCTTGCATAACAAGCCAAGGATTTCTAAAACTCTTTTAAACGCTGGGAGAATAAAAACACATGAAAGGTATTTTAAAATCATTGCTTTTAAAATCACATAATTGTAGAAAGGCTTATTTAGTTTTAAAATTTTGAATACTTCCTCTAAGAATCTAGAAAGACGGAGAAATGCTGCTGTGCCTACAGCAAGAGGTGGAATGAGTGCATGGTGCCTGTCATGGCGCCCTCTGGTGGCACTCTTGTGTTGTTACTGTATACCTACTATATGGATCCTTACAATTTTTAAAATGTATAATATTCATGGCGATATTAATTTTTCTATTTTCATAAACTATGTTATACTGCTTGCAGCGTATAATAATTGAATATTTCTTTCAATAAAACCTCTTTCTAGGATACAGGGATATGAAAATATCTGGTTAAGTAATCATAGTTTTCTACAGAATGACAAATTAAATTGCATTTCTCGTTTTAAAACTACTAGAAACTGGGCTGGGTAGATAGTACAGCGGGTAAGGCATTTACCCCAGAAACCCATACAGTCCCCTGAACCCCACTAGGAGTGATCACTAAGCTCTGTAGCAAAAGTAAGCCCTGAGCACTGCTAGGTGTGGTCAAAAACAAAATAAAATAAAACAAAAAACTCCACAATACCTAAAAAAATTGGTTATTTTGTACAAAGCTTTTTTTAAACAAAGAGTATATAAAACAAAACCCTCCTGTAAAGTGGTTCTTTTTTTTCCCACTTTTTTTGTTGTTTTGTTTTTTTGTTTTAATTTATGGGGGGAGGGGAAGCACCCAGAGGTGCTCATCAGGTTTTACTCCTGGCTCTGTGTTCAGTGATCATTTCAGCTGGGGCTCAGAGACGATATTCGATGCAAGGAACCAAACCAGGACCAGCCACATTGAAGGCAAGTGTTTTACCCCTACACTATCTCTCCAGCTTCTATAAAGAACTTTTGATGAAAATTTTATGATTTGTATAAAACATTCGAATTAAAATGTGAAATCTATACTAAATGATTCAGATGATCTAGTTGTTTGGTTAAGGGCAATAATTTGATTTTTTATTATTTCTATTTCACTAAATATTACTTAGCATTGTTTCTAGATAACTTAGAGAGCCAACATAGGCAATCCAAGAACAGCAAGCTTGTTACCATGACAATCACTGATAGAAAGTGATAAATATCCTGTGCTAGGGTCTATACACAAGAGAGGTCACTTTCACTAGGAAGATGAGGAAGTGGCATTATTTGATCTAGGCCTTTCCTGATAAATTTTACTGAAGTATGAGAGACTGATAGGCAGAGAAAGGCCCAATATTGGGAAGACTTGCTCAAACTGATTTTCGGGGGTTAGAAAACCTAACTAAAGAAAATAGAAATAAGAGGCTGATTAGACCAGTATAAAACATATCTAAGGAAATTATGAGAGACTGCTTTGGAAAAGAGCAGAAGAAACGGGATTTAAAGAAACAAATGAGAGGATCAGGCTAACATTGATACATTCTGAAATTATTCCGGTTTTAAGCATTTCCTTCATGAATATGTTTGCACTAGTGCAGATTTAACTCAGTATTCTAGAATTGATGTTTTCTGCCAGAGAGATGGTACAGCATGCAAGTTGCTTGCTATTGGGAGGTAAGAGAGCATTGTTCCAACAGAAATATAGCAGTTAAACACTTTAGTATCATTTACATGTTTCAAATATATGGAAAAGAACCGAAGTGTTCAGATTCCCACTGACTTATTGAAACCTGTGCATTTATGTATGTTTGACTGTGTTTTATGCTATGCAAATAGAGCTCCATTAAAAACAAATGAAGGTTAATTCCGCACTTACAATATAGTAATTTAACTTCAGATCTGTTCTGTAGACACAAACCAGGCTGAAAGTTAAAGATTCAATCAAGGACTATTTTGTTAAGATAATGATAGATAATTTGATTCACGTGTAATTGCCCCTATTTTTTTTTGACTCAGATATATATTTTTTTGTTTTACAAAAATGTTATGTAAACTCAAAGTAATTTCAATGTATGTATATATTAGGCTTTCTTTTTGAGTTTTGCTTAAATTATTGATGCCACCCCTGCCAATGCTTCTTGTGGGTCAGCAGTGCCAGTCCTTGTGGTACTGGGGGCCCAGAAGTCCCAGATAATCTCTCCCAATTTATAAGGAATGTGCTATACTACTTGAGTCACATCTCTAGAACCCTTTTAATATTTCTTGTAAAAAATTTGTTGTATGTAGAATATTGACACTTGCACAGGAATTTAAAGTGAGATGTTTATTCACTGGACAAAACAAACTCCTTGAATTATTTAAACTTATTTATAATTTTGCTTTTTTCTTCTTGCTTTCTTATTATATATTCTATATACATCTCAAAGTTCCTAGAAGAGAAATGGTACTAGAAATTATGTCAGATAATATAAAGATTCACAAAAAATGTTTTGAAATGTAAATGATGAAATATTAGTTCTGTAATTTATCTATTTTGATATATTGTGATGTCATTCTGGGTGAAAATTGTAGTTTAGTAAAAGAAGATTATTTTAAATGTGCATATATTAATCAAGGGTTGTCATCAAAGTGATACATTGATGTTTACCTGTTTGTTAAATTAAAGTTTCATTTCAAAATCACACAAAAAATTGTCTTGTTAACAGGAATATATTTTGCCAATCAAAAAGTATGACTGCATCCTTCTGTTTACAATAGACCAATTTGACTATGCAGTATTTTTGCTTTGCTTTTGGGGGGAGAAAAATGGAAGAGGTTGGGGAGGCCAGGGTTGAGTCACACGTGGCAGTATTCAAGAACTATTCCTGGTTCTGTTGTATTGGGGATACTGTATGGTGACAGGGTTTGAAATGGGGTCAACCACATACAACGCAAATGCCTTAACCATAGTATTGCCTCAGATTGTACAGATTAATCTACCTTATAAGTGTTCATATTTTATATCAATTATTTTGCTTTTTGTTATACAATAAGAAATTTTAATACTAAATGCATCATTTGGGTTTCTTCTATGTTAGTTGAAGAAAATATGAAATAAATATTAGAACTATCATTCTGTTTCTATGAACTGTAGTCCTATGGTTTGTTGGTTTTTTTGACTGGATTCGGGCCCTATTCTAAAAAGTTTAACCCAATTTATAAATACCATCTATGTCAATAACTAATAAATATTTATCTTTTATTTTCATATTATGAGGAAAGGATCCTACTAGTGTCCCTGAGCAGATATTTTTCACATTTTTATTTTGAGGCACTGTGATTTATAATACTGTTCATAATAGGGTTTCATGCAAAAAAGACTCCAACACCACATCCTCCAGCAGGGTATCCATTTCACTCTACCATTATATCAGGGCCCCCTCCCCACCCTCATGTCTCCCTCCCCACCCCTGCTCCCACTGTAAGTCTGTTTTATAGATCAGTTCATAGGTTCTGTTGCCTTTGGCCATTTGTTAATCCTAACTATTTTTCTTTATTTCCCTCATATAATAGTGATCTACTATACTTATTTTTGGGCTTCCTGATAGCTTTAGACTACTATATATGGAAAAAAGGAAGTGAGTTAAAGCTTTGTAAGACTTGAGTCACAACTACTACTACTACTAGATTTCTTGCTCTCAAATGATTTCCTTCACAATATTTATATTTTCACTGTATTAGTTATACTGTGAAGAGTCCACAAGATTAATAATCACTGTATTTATATACATCTTGAGTAAAAGGTAGTTATCTTACAGTCATCCATCATTCATCCAATATCCAATTTGTTAAGAAACACTGATTTCTGGGTAAGAGGTTTTCTAAATAGCATATAACATAATCTAAAATTAGAAAAGTACTAAGGTAAATTCATTGTCAAGGTCAAAGTTTATGCAAAGACACTATCAAGAAACAACAGGAAAGCTCTAAAGAGATTGAATATATGCAAAAATTAAAAAATAAAAAACCCAAGCAAACCCCTAAAACAACCTGTAAAATTAAGAAGAATGAGTTACTAGACTTCTTTTATCCTATACCTCATAATTGATCTTATGATATAGCATTATTGTCCCTTTATTTTCAGCGAGGTCAATGAGTATATTAATTTTGCTAATATTACTGCAGAATTACTTGATATTTAAAGCAAGATTATGTGATCAAATTGCAAGCTGTTAAATTCTCCACATAAGAGAAATAATTTACATACTTTACAGCTGAGATTTATATAAAGTATTTGTGGTTATATAAATTCTTAGATAAAAAAACTAAAAAATATTTAAACAAATCACAATTTTAAACTAGAAATGCATAGGAGGAAGGAAGTATCTTCAAATTTTGAACTTATCGTATGGTAGCATTATATCCAAAGAAGCACAGAATTTCTATCACTCTTGGTAATTACCTATTTTCATTTGCATTTTCACTTTTGAGGAGAAAAAATATCTAGCCATTGATTTATGTGGAAAATAAGTTAGTTTTCCTTTATTCTGTCATTTCACTCTACCCATGTCTTTCTAAACTCTTTTCTCCAAGAAATTTTAAAAATTCTTTGCTGTATCTTTAGAGCAATATAATATAAATAAGCTAATGCCTATACTATGGAAAATAGTAATAATTGACAATTTACATATTATGTAGTTCAATCTAAAAAGCTAATCTTTTTACCCTAGTAGTTATCATTTTCCCTTTAAGTCCAATAAAAGCAATGAAGTATTTTAGTGTTGTTGCCAGTATGATATTTGGTAAAGAAAATGAAAATGGAAGGCAAGTTAAAAAATGTGGAATTCTTGCTAGAACTGTTTCTTTGTACATTCAAATGAAGAAAACGTGTGATTATGCGGTGGGAGATCAATGAAGTTTCATTGACTGTGGTGTTGACTCTTCCCCACACCATGCAGCAAAGCCTTCCAATCACCGGCCCGCAGAAAGCTCCGCACCCACAGGCTCCTCTGGCTGCAGTTTTGGCAGTGGATATAGTGTGGACAGTGAAGGAAGCAGCAGCACTGCAGGGGAGACTAATCTATTTCCTATTCCAAGGATGTAAGTGCCTCTTGCTTTTTTTGTTCTTCACAAGTTATGGACATCATGAATTAGCTTTTACCGTTTAACAGGATGTAACTACAGCCTTACCCAGTTCTGAGTCATTGTCCCTGAACCACTTCAAGTGTTTATGACAGAGTGTTCAGGAAAGATGAATTCAGTTAATTCTAAGGATGAATCCTGAGCCCTCCTAGGACTACTCCATCACTACAAGATGTAGTTTATATTATGACTGCTACAATAATAATGTGATCATACCTCAATCAAGTTTAATGGCACCAGTACATTGATGCTTTATCTAATGACCAAATAGAATTTGTAGATTTTTGAGATATTAAACATTAATTTACTGATATAAGATATCTTATTTAAAAGTTCAAATCCTATGAAATAAATAATACACTGAGCTAATCATATAGATTTCTCCACTGTAAATTTCACTGCAGTTAGAATGGAAGGTTTTGAAGTGAAATGGTTCTAGAACAAATATTAAGTAATCCATAGGTCCCTGAGTAAGTGCTCTTTGAGTAAATTCCTTAGAAAATCGTTTTGCAAATTTAATAAAAAAATTAAAGCATATTTTGTTTAGAAAGTGTTATAATGGATTTAATCATGTTGGTAGCAAAATTTAGCAATATCCAAGATAAATATATAGGTTGTATCAATTCCAAAATCAAAATTTAAACTTCTGAACTTCCTTTCTCTTCACTGTTAGATTTCTGGGTTTTCAGAAACACTCCTTGGCCTAGTCAAACACCTGGATCCAGACCAGAGTGAACCCAGCCTGAGGCTGTTGTTTTTTTGTAAGACTAATGATTTTTAAATGGCATCTACATTCTAAATGTTTCAAAAAATAAAACCAGAAAATGTTTTGTGATACATGAAAATTATATGAAATGAACATTTCAGTGTCCTTAACTCTTTAATGGAACTCAACCCTAAAAAGATAGGTTTGAGTAGTAGCAACAGATATAAATTCAATTGCTATCTGGTCCTTAAATAGAATCTGTAGAACTCTAGTATAGATTCTTGCTATGGGGTAGCTTTTGCTCCAGTGATGGATGAAGACTTCTTTGGGACTGGAAATTCTATCTTTATTTAAAAGTAAAAGCTTTTTATAAATGTTTCCTTGTGATCTCATGAATAGTTTTAATATTTAGTAGGTCACTTCGTAAATTCAAAATAATGGGATAATGAAAAATGGACTTGTACAGTAGCCAGTGGTTATTTCACATTATATTTTTATACTTATTATATGGATTACTGATTTACTATTGGAGATGAGTTACAAATTATATACTTATATGTATAGTTTTTGTTGAAAATTATTTCTGAAAATAGTCTGTTTTTTTTACCTCTAATAATACATCCTGATGAAGAATTTCAGCAAATTTATTACATTATTTTCTGTTAACTGTGAATTCCACATGTTACAATTAATTCAAAAATAATTTGTTTTAGTGGTGTAGGAATTAAACTCAAGCTTTTTATATGCAAAGCATGTTTTCTATTACTGAACTACATTCCTGGTTCTTAAAATAGAAATACTTATACTGAGTAATGTAATAAATCTCTTAGACTAGATTACTTTATTTCCCAGCATCAGAATGTGTGGAAGTCAAGTTAGATTTTGTTTATTCTTATGTACATACTGCATTCTAATTTTTTTCTATGTAAAACAAAACGTTTAAAAATGCATTGGAGGAGCTAGAGTGATAGCACAGCGGGTAGGACATTTTTCTTGCAAGTAGCCAACCCGGGTTCGATTCCCAGCATCCCATATGGTCCCCCAAGCGCCATCAGAAGTAATTCCTGAGTGCATGAGCCATGAGTAACCCCTGTGCAATGCCAAGTGTGACCCAAAGAGAAAAACAAAATTGCATTGGAAACTATTTTTCCATATAAGCACAAATGAAATTCAATTTTAAAAATTATTGCAGGATATATGTAAAAATTTATTGGACGATTTAAATGTTCAAGAAATCGTTATTGATTAGCAAACAAATTATAAATTGTGCAGTCAGAATGCACTGAAATGAAGATTTTTTTTAATTCAGAAAATTGTGTATCTAATTCAGTTACATTTGCATCTTACTTCATTTTGCTTCACAGTGCTGCTAATATTTTCTGTATTATCTTAGAAATGCAGTTAATACATATTTTGGCTTCATACCTAATGCTAATGTCAATTTTCATTAGAATCAAAATCTACAGCTCGATAATACCATTAAGACACAAAATCTGGGACTCAAAAGCAAATAAACATAATCCAAATTATATACTTCGACAGTTATTTTTAAGTCACATTAATTTGGGGCCAGAGTGATAATACCCTGGGCTCTTGCCTTATACATGGCTAACAGGGTTTGAATTCCCTGGTCCCCTGAGCCCTCCAGGCATGGTCCCTGAGCACAGGCATAATCTCTGAACACTGCTGGGTGTGGCAATGTTAGTAATCCACACCCATCAAAAAACAATCACAAGAATTTTGTTTATGTTTTACATGGTGTAAGATTATAGCTTTTTAGCACTCTTCTCTGGTAAGATATTTTTAAAGTTAAGTTAACCTGGGTAACAATATATGGGCTCTTTCAATCTGTGTTTACTACTAAAGAAAAGATTTCTCCTAAATTAAGCTTTTCTCTCTTAAAAGTAGGATTCAGAGCAGTTACTTATATTTAAGGTTAAAAATAACTTGAAATAAACTGCTTGTCTTGAATCTCACTAAAGCAATTGAGTTTTGAAACTCACTGGACAAAAGAAAGTTTTGTGAATTCCTAAGCAAATCTTTCTTGTATAGATTCAAATATAAGCCATACAACATGTTTACATATATAGTATTCACATGAGATATATGCAAGTACAGATGTTAATATACATGTAAAGTATGAGTCTGCATATAATTATATTAAAAAGCCTTAATATATGCAAGTATATATATGTAATTTTTACCTTTTTTTGCATGTACTTTGTCCTTACATAATTGCATTGTAAAAATTTCTCTGAAGATTTTGTTTAAACCTAAGAAAAATTTTCCTTTGACCTAGAATTTTGATAATAAATTGTGTAATAATTTTCAGAAGACTTCATGAAGTTATATGTGTTCATTTTTCATTATATGCAACACCATTTTAGTAGACTGATTAAACAATCTGTATAGCAGTTCTGAAGTAAGATATGATTGGATTCTAACTAAATAAGCATAGCTAACATTTTTAGCACATCCAGAAAACCAAATATTTTTGAAAGAAAAAATTTTTAGTAAAATCTTTAGTAAAATCTATGTTAGAATTATTTTCTAGAAAGTATAATATCAAGATGTTCTTTAGTTGAAATCTCACCCTTTATAACAAATAGTTTTATTCTCTTTTCAGAATGTCTATTATATGCGTATATAAAGATAACTCTAAAATCCTTTGAATGTATGTAGCTTTTCTTCAATCTGAAAAAATAAGATATGACCTATAATCTTTTTACTGTTGTCATATAAGTATTCAGAACTCACTGTGCTCAAATTACCTGAATTTTTTGTCTATTTGGTCTTCAAAAATGTTTGAGATAGAATTTACAAGTTGAGTAGCAGACTTCAACTGAATTCTAAAACTGTCATATGTATACCTAAAAACAAATACTTTACATTTTATTGGATATTATATTTCATAAAATTAAACATTTTATATATTTTTCCGGACTGGAGCAATAGCACAGCGTGTAAGGCATTTGCCTTGCACGTGGCCAACCCAGGTTCGATTCCTCCGTCCCTCTCAGAGAGCCCGGCAAGCTACCGAGAGTATACTACCTGCACGGCAAAGCCTGGCAAGCTACCCGTGCTGTATTCAATATGCCAAAAACAGTAACAAGTCTCACAATGGAGATGTTACTGGTGCCTGCTCGAGCAAACTGACGAACAACGGGAGGACAGTACTACAGTGCTATATATTTTTCTATGTGATTTTTCTCATAGACAAATGGTACCTAATTTTACTCTTTTTATATTACAAAATAAGAAATAGTCTTCAGATTAAGTAAATTTTCCATAGATGACATGAATATAGATAGCAAAGCCTGAAACTTGGAGAGATCAAGCATGACTTCAAAAGCCAGTTTCTGCTGACAATGAAAACACAGGAAGGATCCTAAAGGAGGTCATAAAGTGAAATAAAAATATTCTATATTATTACAAAATGATAGTCAAGTTATTTAATTCAAAAATTTCCTCCTCACTGAATAGTCTACAGCAACTTATAACAAAGTGACTCTATTTATGGTCTTTCTAAGTTAAAAATAGAGAAAACTGTCCTCCAATTTAAAATAAAGTTCAGCTTCAGTACAGTGAGTAGGGCATTTGTCTTGCATGTAGAGGACCAGAGTTCAATCTTCCACTTCCCATATGGTCCCATGAGCACCACCAAGAGTAATTCTTGAGTGCAGAGCCAGGAGTATCTCCTGAGCACTGATAAGTGTGGCCTCCATAACCAAAACATGTAAAAAATTTAAAAATTAAAGTTGAAAATTTCATAATGGACTGGTCTTTGATAAATGAATAAAAGTACCAAAAGTAATAAGTTGAAACTTTTGAAACAAATAGAAATAATAAAAGCAAGTTTCTACTTTAAAATGATCTAGATGAGAGCAATTTATTTTGTTTATATTTGCCATTCAAAACTATAGTGTTCCTGAATACATAATGTCATTCTATTGTTGTAACTTTGGCTTTCTCATTTGCTCCTAAAAGATAATAAATGAATATGTAGTAACCTTGAATTTTCTTTTTAAACAGAGGGAAGATGGGGCAGAATGGGCTAGAACCTGTGAAGCAGCCAGGAGTAGGCCTAGGACTGACTGACACTGAAGGTAAATTAAAATTGGCAATGCTGCATTTTGGTTGACTCTACATGCCGTAGTATAGGTTTGTTTTTCTTTCAGCCTTACTCTAAATTTCTCAGTAGTGATTGCAAACCATTAAGAAATAGTCATCACATGGAGTGTATCATGCTAAGTGAAATGAGTGAGAAACAGAGGAACAGACATAGAAGGTCTGCATTCATTTGTGAAGTATAAAACAACATAACATGAGGCTGGGCTGGAGCGATAGCACAGCAGGTAGGGCATTTGCCTTGCAAGCGGCCAACATGGCTGACCCAAGTTTGATTCCTCTGCCCCTGTCGGAGAGCCGGGAAAGCTACCGAGAGTACCTTGCCTGCATGGTAAAGCCTGGCAAGCTACCCATGATGTACTTGATATGCCAAACACAGTAACAATTGTTACAATGGAGACATTACTGGGCCCGCTCAAGCAAATCGAAGAACAGCAGGAAGACAGTGACAGTGTCAACATGAGACTGACACCTAAGGATAGTAGATACACGGGACAGGTAGATTGCTCAATAGCTGGAAGCCTGCCTCATAATTAAAGGGGAGAAGGCAGCTGGAATAGAGAAGGGATCACTAAGAAAACGATGGCTGGAGGAATCAGTTGAGATGGGAGATGTGTGCAGAAAGTAGATAAAGGACCAAACATGATGGCCTCTCAGTAGCTATATAGCAAAACAATGCCCAAAAGTAGAGAGAGAGTATGGGGAAAATTTTCTGCCATGGAGGCAAGGGGAGGGTGGGTAAGGGGAGGTATACTGGGGATATAGGTTGTAGGGAATGTGCACTGGTGGAGGGATGGGTGTTTGATCATTGTGTGATTGTAACCCAAATATGAAACTTATAACTATGTTACAGTGATTCAATAAAATAGAAAAGAAATAGTCATCCAGTCTATTATCCATTGAATTATCAATTTCAATGAATAATTATTTAATTTATAAAAAGTCAGAATGAAGAGTGAGAGCCAAAGAAAAGAGACTGAGAATACTTACTCAGGAAAAAATAAATATCCTCTTAAGACTAAAGAAAATGTATTTAAAATACACTACAAATATAACTATATTGTGAGACTTCATTTATTCCCATAAAAATCCTAAATATGGAAGTGAGAAGAAACTAATGGTGTATAATTTTACCTAAAATAAAAAAATCACAAGCTATATATTCTTAATCAATTCTTATTGATATGTTTAGTCCCAAATTGGGGCTGGAGCAATCGCACAGTGGGTAGGGCGTTTGCCTTGCAAGCAGCCAACATGGCCGACCCAAGTTCAATTCCTCCATCCCTCTCAGAGAGCCCGGCAAGCTACCTAGAGTATGTCCCTCGCATGGCAAAACCTGGCAAGCTACCCATGTCGTATTCAATATGCCAAAAACAGTAACAACAAGTCTCACAATGGAGACGTTACCGGGCCCACTGGAGCAAATCAATGAACAACAGGAGGACAGTGACAGTGACTGTGATAGTCCCAAATTGACCATCCAAACTCCTTGGAATTCATATTTAGATAATTTGTGTTTGTCAGGGCGATTAGAGGCCGCTTCAAAAGCCTTTATCCCTCTCGGAGAGCCTGGCAAGCTACCGAGAGTATTCCGCCCGCACGGCAGAGCCTCGCAAGCTATTCGTTGTGTATTCGATATGCCAAAACCAGTAATTACAATGGGTCTAATTCCCCTGAACCTGAAGGAGTCACCCATATGGCAGCGTTGAGAAGGTTGAGGAAGGAGAGGCTGATAAAATCTCAAGGCCGAACTAGGCTGCCAAAACGAAGGAAGACAAAAATGATTGTCTGTGCTTTCAATGCGTGTACGCTAACATTGGATGCATCCATCGAGGAACTGATGGTACAAGCAAGTACGACATCATTGATCTGACCGAGACAAGAAGGCATAAATCACATCATGCCGTTTTTCACCACTGGAGAAGAATTGTTCTCGGAACATGCGATAAAAGAGGCATCAGAGGCGTCGGTGTCCTTGTCAACACGAACTTGGCCATGAGCATTGATTCATTCGAATGCGTAACAACCCGAATCGGAAGTTTACACTTGAATAGATGTGGCTCACTGCCGGCAGTTTCTTCGTTGTCTGTGCACCAACATCCAATTATGATGAAGGAGAAATTGAGAAGTTCTACATGGAGCTGGAGAAGTTCTATAAAGAAGACCACATTTTCTACAAGATCATTGACTCTGATTTTAATGCCAAGATAGGACCGAGAAGATCAGCCGAAGAACTCCACATCGGGACCCATGACCTAGAATGCAACCAACAGGGTGAGAGACTGTCTGAGTTCATCATGTCAACCAAGACCATCCATGGTAACTCACAGTTCCAGAAGGCCGAGTCTAAACGTTGGACATGGGAGTCTCCTGGTGGACAATTCCACAACAAAATAGACCACATCATATTTAATCAATGGTTTTGCCTGACCAATGTCACTGTTGTCCCAAAATTCCAAAAGGGATCGGACCACCTTCTCCTTTGTGCAAAATTCTACTTCACAGCGCAGGAAGAAAGGGCTGCAAAGCTTAAGAAGAGAACTCCCAGAACGACCACCAACTGGGAGCTCTTTGGCACTAATGCTGCAACATGGGAAGATGCCGTTGTTCACAACATTGATGAGGAATACGATCAACTGATTCAGCACCTCCATGATTGTGCGAGGAACGCCAAGAGAGAGATAACCACAAAAAGATGACTGTCTTCGAAAACTCTTGAGCTTATTTGTCATCATGGTTTGGCATATGCCTCAGTAACCACAAGTGAACGTCCAATCTCGCAAAGCAGTGCAGAGATGCGATCAAGTAAGACCTCAAGAGAGAAGAGCAGAAGTGCTGGTAGATGTGGCAGAAGCCGGGAAAAGCATTTGCAACTCCCGCCTGTCCTTTGCCAACTAGAAGACCAAGAGGACTGCCCTCCAATGTCCTGATGGCTCTATCACATATTCCAGAAGGGCAATGAAGAAGATTATTCATGACTTCTACTCAGATCTCTTCGATAGCCGTGTCCACCTGCCCACATACCAAATTCCACAGGATGGATATGTCGTTCCCAATGTTCTCCTTTCTGAAATCCAACATGCCATTTCGTCGGTAAAGAAACAAACAGGACCTGGCCCTGACAAGGTCAGACCTAAACACCTGAAGAACCTGCCGTCAGTACTCATCAATACGCTGGCTCGGCTCTTCACACACTACCTGTCTGAATGCAAGTTTCCATTCCAGTGGACCAGCAGGACTGTACTACTGTGCAAGAAGGGAGATATTGGCAACTATCACCCAATCTGCCTATTGTCTGTCATCAACAAGTTGTTCACTCGAGTCATCCTGAATAGGATTGGCAGAACACTAGATGAAGGACAACCATGTGGACAAGCCGGGTTCCGCAAAGGATTCAGCACCATTGACTATATCCACATGATAACCAAGCTCATTGAGGTTTCTCGGGAGTTCAAGATGCTGCTTTGTCTAACGTTCATTGATTTAAAGAAGGCCTTTGATTCTGTTGAGATGGAAGCGGTCATTGAAGCTCTAGCCAATCAGGGCATTCAAAGTCAATACATCAGGATCCTCCGTGAGCTGTATTACAGATTCACTACCAGGATCTCACCATTCTACAAAGAAGTAATCATCGATGTCAAGGGAGGGGTTCGGCAGGGTGACACCATTTCACTGAAAATCTTCAGTGCCACCCTCAAGGACGTCATGTGACAACTGGAATGGGAAGGAATGGGAGTGATGATAGATGGTCGGCAACTACACCACCTCTGCTTTGCTGATGACATTGTTCTAATAACACCAAACATTAGCCAAGCAGCACAAATGCTGGCCGACTTCGACCGTGAGTGTGGAAAGGTCAGACTACAGCTGAATCTTACAAAGACAATGTTTATGAGAAACAGCCCCGTTCCTGATGCTCCATTTGCTCTCAAACGGAACGACCATCTCCGAATGCAACAGTTTTGTGTACTTAGGTCGAAGTCAACATGACAAATGACCTGGCACCTGAGTTGCGCAGGAGGAAGAGAGCAGCTTGGAACGCCTTCAAGAGTGTCGAAGAAATAGCTAAGAGGACGAAGAACCTCCAGCTTCAGGCACATCTCTTTGATTCCACTGTTCTTCCTGCTATACACCTCAGAGACTTGGGCCCTATGCAAACAGGATGAGAACACTATTTGGATCTCCCAAAGAGGAATTGAAAGAGCTATGCTTGGAGTATCACATTTCACTAAAATGAGAGAAAGAATCCGGAGTTCTGACCTCCGTTGACGATCAAGAATCAGGGACGCTGTCTAGTTTGCAAAGGCGTCAAAAATAAGGTGGGCTGGATACGTAATGAGATTTGGAGACTACCGCTGGACTAGAGCCATTACCGACTGAATTCCACGGGATGTCAAAAGATTGTGTGGCCGCCCACCTACCAGATGGTCAGACTTCTTCATCAAGATCCTGAATGATCGGTTTGAGGCTCTTCGTATTCCTAGAACGAACAGACGCCATTGGGCTACACTAGCACGTGACAGGAACAAATGGAGACGGTACTGGCACCCGCTCGAGCAAATCGACAATTAACGGGAAGTCAAGTGATCAAGTGTTTGTCAGGCATTTTGTCCAGTCGAAAAAATAGATATCTCTATAGATATTTAAAATAGAGGAAATATATGGCTGACATTACAAACTGTCAAAGAAATCATGGAAGGGCAAGACAAACTGAACTGGAGACAGGTTGCAGAATGAAGTACCTGTCCATGTAGAGTGGTGGGTATTGATGAGTAAAACCTCTAGGAGAAGCCGTATGTTCTGTTAATGTGAGACAAGGAAGAACGGGCAAAGCAGATACCAAAAACATATTTTGAGAAAGGCATCCTAGTTTCCTTCCTGCTTCCATTCTGCAGTCTGCCAGTGCCTCATCAAATCCAGCTGGAAGCCAATGGATTAGGGAGGCAGAAAGAAAATTGAAAGTTGGTAGAAAGCAGTT